ACTGACTGGCGGTGCCCCACCACGCTCCCCACATGCCCCCAGCCCCCGCCTGCAGGTTCCCCCTCACCTCGTAGGCATCTTTGATGTTCAAGGGCTCGCCCAGCGCGGCCACGTGCCCCACGATGCCCTTGTTCCACTCCAGGCGGATGCAGCTGTTGGACGCCTCCTCCAGGGTGGAGCCCTCGGCCACGTCGAAGAGGCGGCTGACCAGGAACTTGTCATTGGAGCTGTCCTCGCAGACCAGGAACAGCGAGTAGCGGTCGGCGGAGATGAGCCCGTGGATGTGCAGGAATATTTTGTGGCACAAGGCCGTGACGTCCAGGTGGCTGGAAATGTCCTTCACCAGTTCCAGGAGTCTGGAGCACTGGTCCCCGTCATCGTGGTCGAAGCGCCGCGGGGTGAGCGGCATCTGTTCCCTCTCCGAGTCCGAGACGAAGCTCACGGCGCCCTCGGCGTCCTTGACCACGATGGGTCGCAGCGGCCGGTCGAACTCTGAGGCCGAGATTTTCCTGGTGGGTGTCCCCGGGGTGCTGCTCTCGACGCGGGGGTTGTGCTGCGGGGGACACGGGCAGGATTCTGCGCGGCCTCGGGCGCCCTCCTTGAGGACCGGGATGGTGTGGACTCTCTCAGAAAACCACGCATTGACCATCTCTCTGCAGGACAGAGCAGGGGCACGTCACCCACTGGAAAGGGAAGGGGGCTCCCAAAAACTGCTACTAATTCTTTCGCTGTCAACCCACTAGACAATAATCCAGCTTGTCACAGAAAATATAAAGGCGATGGTTTATTTAAGACAGTTGTATTTTGGAAAAACTGTAGAGGACAATTGGTCCAAAGGACATTTGAATCAAGTATGTCTGTGCACATATATTTCCAGATGTCTGATCTATAGCACATCAAACCTCAAGCCTACTCTCAAAACCAGTTAGCATCAGAGTACAAGACACGGCCTCCCACAAAGGATTTCCGGTTGGACTCCCCGTCAAGGGCACGTCCGACATACGTGGGTTGCCTGTCTGAGCCCCACACCAGTGCAGGAGGCAAACCAACCAATGTCTCTCTCTCTCACATCGGTGCTTCTCTCTCTCTCTCTCTCTCCCCTTCCCTCCCTCCCTCCCTCCCTCTCTAAAATATCAATGGGAACAAAAAACAAATAACGAATGTTTGACTACATTTGGCTAGCTGACAAGCTTGGTTCTAGACAGCTTCATCTGTATCACTACACACAGATTAGCTTTAGAAGAGGAAATGGAAAATATAAACAATTTGATCTGGCATGTAGAAAGACTGTAGACCTCTAAATATTATCCTAGTAGTGCTTGTTAAATAATGGCAGAAATGATCTCTTCTAGATTGTTTACTGGTATAAAGGATGGGCATTTTAAAGTAGGCAATACCTAAGTTTAAACACTCCGTCCAAAATTTTAAATCGTTTGTTTTAAATGTGCCCTCCTATGAAAGAAACCTCTTAAAGCTAAAGGCTTCACGGTGGGTGATTTTTTTTTTTGTTGTTAACCCACATCCTAGATCATACACATTCAAGGACTGGTTGGTTCAAATAAGTCCCCTGGGAAAGCTGTAACCTTATACTAACTGACAGCGCCATTGCTTTAGACAGTTTTAAAACTCTTCTTTTGAGACTAACTTCTAAGAAAATTCAGAAGCAGCAGAAGAACATTTGTTATCTAAACGTTAGACTTGTTTTCCACCAAGTCTTGCTCTCCAAACAAACAAATAAAACAAAATAAAGCAAAATAAAATAAAAAACCTTGAGTAACAGCTAACCTAAAATCTAGGTTATGTGTAAGACTTGACTTTTTCCAAAACGAAAGTTTACCTTGGAAAGAAAAACACTTGCTACCACTGTAGATATTTCAAAGGCGTTGCCTTTAATAAGAGCAATGCAGTCTCCACTCTATCATCACGTACTGATTACTTTCTCTAAATGGCCAGGATGGAAGTTTGACGATGCACAATGTTGGGGAGTGTTGTGATGCCGACGCTCTTAATCTCTGGTTGTAGTAAAAATTGGTATCACCTCTTTGGAAGGTAACAGGCAATCTCTAACAAATTTTAAAATGCATTTATCCTTTGTTCCAGAGATGTCACACGCGTGACAAGGGAAGGACCGGGTGGTTACTGTGGCGAGGTCTGTTATAGCAAAGACAAGGAGCACCCTAACCCGCACCGGGAGGCTGGCCACATACGCCACGCGGGTTATGCAGCCGAGCACGAGGCAGACACGGAAGACGGCCACGGGCAGCGATGTGAGTCATGCACGGTTTGTTGAGTGAAAAAAGAATGTAGATCGAGGGGAAAGAAGAGGCTGCCTTATTTCTGAGTCGCCACTAAGTCTCCCACTTATGGGATGTTCCCTTAATTCTTTTATTTTGGACAAATATGGATTGTTTGGTGAATGTATATTATCCTGAAATGTTCCCAGTCTAGGACGGAATGGGTACAAAAGGTAACACAGATATTATAAGGATGACTCCTAATTTCATGGGATGGATACAGTTGTAACAGCTTTTAAAGGTCTCTCTGAAAAGTAGCAGAGTAGGTGGTATGTTGTACAGATCACAAGTATACACCACAGCGCAGAGTTTTAAAAGATGTGAGTGTCCTGCCCTGCCCGGGGGCTCAGCTGGTTGGAGGCCCGTCCCGTGCACCAAAAGGCTGCGGGTTCCATCCCTGGTCAGGGTGCACGTGGGAGGCAACTGACAGACTCTTCCCTCTTACACCGATGTCTGTCTGTCTTCTCTTTCTCTCCCCCACTTCCTCTTCTAAACACATCCTCAGGTGAAAATTAAAGGAAAAAAAGTAAGTGTCCTAATGTTTTATAAATTCATGTTGTGTCTTAGGACAAACTTTCCACTAAGAACAAAATACATTGATTAAAATAATGCTGTATCCTAAAAACTTAGAAACGAGGGTGCCATACTCAGGGAAACGTGAGTATAACCCCCAAAACTGCGGCCGGGCGTCAAAGACATCGTTGCCAAAGATGCGTGTGCCCGTCAGAGACGCGCAGGGAGCTCTGCAATAAAACTGTCTTGTAAAATGTGAGACAGGAAAAAGCAGTGCGTCTACATGAACATATCTCACGTGACTTTAAAATATGTACATGGAACTTAAATTGCTGAATCAATATAAAAATAGGCCTTTTATCTATTTCAGCTACAAACCTAAAACTTAGCCACAGTTTCTTACTTGATGAATGGAAAATGGCGAATTATTTTTCTTTTTTAATTAAACCACCTACTTGCGAACTCCATATGGATGTCTACACAGAGAGCTTAAAATGGAGGAAACGGGATTCCTAATGTCCCACCTGTCACCTGGCCAGTCCCACTCCCTGCCAGTGACCAGTCACCCGTTCAGCCCCACTCCCTGCCAGTGACCAGTCACCCGGCCAGTCCCACTCCCTGCCAGTCACCAGTCACCCGGCCAGTCCCACTCCCTGCCAGTCACCAGTCACCCAGCCAGTCCCACTCCCTGCCAGTCACCAGTCACCCGTTCAGCCCCACTCCCTGCCAGTCACCAGTCACCCGTTCAGCCCCACTCCCTGCCAGTCACCAGTCACCCGGCCAGTCCCACTCCCTGCAGTTCCCTCATGTTAGTAGAAGTAGCAGCACTTTCTCCCCAGCTGCTCAGACCAAACATCTAGGACTTACTCTAAATTTGTTGCCTTCAACTCTCATGTCCAGTCCAAGTCCTGCCAACTCGACCACCCAAACCTTCCATCCCAATCCCTTCATTTCTGCCTCCGGCCCTGCACCCGGCCCGAGCCCCACCACGTCCCACCGGCCATGGCCACGGCCCCTGGCTGGTCCCTCTGATATTATACCTGCCCCTTTCAATCCACTCTCCACCCAGCAGCCAGAGTAGTCTTGTCACGAAGTAGCATCTGAACTACTCTACTCGGCTTCTCCCTGAGCTCAGAATAAAACCCAAACTCATTGAAACCCCCACCCCATCCCTGTCCCCGCGCCGGCCTCCCTGGAGCTGCCCAGGCGCGTCAACATCTAGCCGTCCCCAGTCTGGGACCCTCTCCCCTCCCATCACCTGGCTGGTCACAGCCCCCACACCCCTGCTCAGAGGCCCTCCCTGGTCACCCACCTAACGCGGCCTCCAGCCCAGCACGGGCCCACTCCCCCTGAATTCTCGCTATCGGACGTCTTTCTTGGTTACCATACCCTGGCACACTGTCCGTCTGCTCCGGCCAGATGAAAATCCCGTCAGAGCTACTCGCCTGTCTTACCACTCAGCCCTGCGCTTAGAAGACGCCTGTCGCATGGTTTGTCCTCAACAAGCATCTCCTGAGTGAATACATAAAAGAAGGCTCCCAACTGAACTGCATCACAGGGACCCCAGTCTCTGAATATCCCAGTGCTGCCACATTTGCTGCAGAAACTTCACCACCCTTGCGGGGGAAGCCTCGGGCCCTGCAGTGCCCAGCGTGTCTCAAACAGCCGGTGCTCGCCAGCTCTCCGCTATGTGTCTTCATTGCTGTGTTGCATTGTCTCACCATGTTCCATTTCTAGGTGTCTTCCGGGCAGATGAACTCAGGGTTAAATGACACAGGGACTCAGATCCAGGACACTGTCATTCAATCAACCAGTTTGACCCACAGCAATCACAGGGGCGGGGCTTCTCACGACCACATTTTTGGTTATCTGAGTCCCTGGAGTTGCGTGTGCGCAGGAAAACATATGGTATGGTCACATCACCACGGCCGCTTAGGAATCGACCACAAGTGAAGGGAAAACATCTCGCCTGCCTCTGTCCCCCGGCAGCCCTGGGAGCCTCGCCGGGCACAGCCCGCGACCTACGTGGCTGGCTGGGGTGGGCCCTTCCTCTCCCGATGACTCTCTGTACAGGTGCGAATCACCTGAAAATGGAAATTAAAATTCTTTTGCAAGAGGCAGAGTTTCTAGAAGGGAGCAGAAGTGATGCTGAGAGCCATTCTAACGTTACAGAGCGCTGCTGGCAGTTAAAGGTTCCGCCCAGTTAAAGGGCGGCTACCGAGGGAAGGAGTGATGCACGGATACTTGAAACAAGAACTCTATTCAAATAATCACACTCTAGGTTCAGACAGGCCCTTGGAAAAACCGAGGAAGTCTCCAAATATTGCTTCAAGGACACTATTTTGGGGGGAAAAGACTCTCTTGGTCCTGCTGCAGAAGTCAAATGTGAGGTAAAGGTATTGTGCATGGCACAGTTTTGTCGGGAAATTAATTGTTTATTCTAAAAATGGGCCCAAAATTTCAGAATAACCTGAACTCTTTTAAATCTAAAATAAATTTACTCTCATAATCTGCGGTTCCATGACAGGCACTGTCCTGGGCGCCAGGGATCGCTAATGAGCGGCCCCAACCCACTCCTCCCAAACTGGGGTCTGTTGTGTCCAGAAGTTGATGTATATACATATTGGACTCTGTCGCCACGTGAAGTTAAATGTAAATGCATATTGCATGAATAAAGACGGAGAAGGTGACTGTGAGCATGTCAAGCATGAGGTAAAAAGCGGGGGGATTCTAGAGGCCGGGCAGGTAGTGGCTCCCCTGGCCTAGGACAGCATCTCTCTACTTTCCCTCCCTCTTCTTCCCTGATTCTACGGCATGTGGACAAGTATTTACATTCAGAACC